ATCAATTGCCCATATGGTCAGGAAAAGGTTAGCTGACCTGTTTCCAGCCTGAAAAATTAAACCGATTAGCTCTTCCAACCTACCCTGACAATGAGAAGGACCAATTGAGCTGCTAAAAGCAAAATGCTATGAATGCAAAGTCTAGCTCTTCGTTGGTTAAGTTTAACTACTTCTGCTTATGATCAATATACCTAGCATCTGGAAACAGTGATGTATTTTGTGGCAAATGCCTGTTTTCTTGGGGATCTTTTATGGTTTTATCATGACAATTTAGAAGTCATGCTTCAGTCACATGTTACACACTCTAAGATTCTGTGTTAGTAGCAAAAGCAAGCTAATCCCAATGGCTTTGGATGATGATGGATATTAAGTTTATAATATAAAGCTTTAGATGGTGATTATTAGATGCTTTTCCTATCGCTTTGATAAGATACCCTGACAAAAGCAGTTCAAGAGATAAAAGGGTTCATTTGGGCTCACAGTTTAGGGGCAGAGTTCACCAGGGTAGAGAAGTCCAGGTAGCAATAGCTTGCAGCAGCTAGACACATTGCAACCGCAAGCAAGTGCAGAAAACAATGAATTAATAAGTAAATGTCCGTTTTCAGCTGACTCTATTTTTATATAGTCCTGGATCCTCTGCTCAGGGGAGTGGTGCCACCCAGAGTGGGCAGATCTTATCATATCAATTAATATAATTAAGTTAATGGGTGGCTGGCACAACCCAAAGGCAAAGTAATTCTAGATCTCATCAAGTTGAAGATAAACACTTTACTATCACAGCAACCCTTTTCCTAAGGGATATCAAACTCAGTCTCGGTCTACATTTGTAGGAAAATATCATCCTCCAGCCACTACCATGGGCAGATGCTGCAACTCTGTAGCAAGCAGGAGGTACCAGTGAGAAAAAAATCCACCAGTAAAGACAACCTGAAGGGCTCACATATTGATGTAGAGGACCAAGAATTGCAGGCCCTGGAGCTTGCTGACGAAGTCCATGGCTTTGTTTTCGACTCTCCCCACCATGCCCCAAGAAGCACGTACATGCAGTCCATCCCATGTGCAGGCACGTGCCGTAGCTCAGACCCTGCTGTGGGAGGGGAAGCTGTTGATCTTCTTGTAAAAAAGAGTGTGGGACTGTAGAAAGGGGACCGTCAATGAGATTTCATATTAGTCATTTTGAAATTCAAAGAGAGTGGAGAGCTTTAATCTGTGTTTACTCAAGCTATTTGGCACATGGAGAATAAAATAAAGTCTTTGCTCCAAATTCCAACCACCATGTCACTGTCAAATCTAAGCTTCTCCTGGCATAGAGGAGTCCACGTGCCACAATCAATTTTCATCTAGGCACATACTTCTGTCTGATGGAAATGAGGTGTGGGAAAAGCTAAGGGTGTTTATTGACCAAGGGAAGTTAATCTGCATAACATGAAAATTCACAAAGGGACAGAAGAATGAGAAGAGGTTTAATCTTCCTTCTTCTTTGGCAGATGTCTGAAGAAACACACACAAAGACACTGTGTGTGCTTGACCTTGCTGTGTGTTATAAGATTTTCTCAACAATGTTGAAAGATGAACAACTGCTTCCTCCCCCCACCCAGTTATCCAACCATGCTGCTCTGCGTCTCCTACAGCAGAGCAGAACCCAGAGCTGCCACTGCAATTCACTCTGCATGTAGCCTCATCCTCAACTTCTGAGGATGGTTGGATGAGGTGGACAGAGAAGCTTGGGTTAGAAGGATGGCGCTCTAACATTAAACGCCTTGAGAGAGTCGTGGTGCAGTTTCTTATTTGGGTCCTGGATTAAACCCAAGACATGGTGCATGCCAGGCAAATCCTCTACTACTGAGCTGTATCCCCCAGCATGATAGAGTTCTTAATGATTGCCATGAAGCAGTGTGCTCTTGTCTACACATCCAAAACTAAGAACAGACTTCACAGTTAACTTTGCTCCTGCAGAGTGCTGGGGCTGAGAACATCTGTTACTGCCAAATTCCTGGAGCCTAAATGTGTTTCCAGAAGTGAATCAGAATTATAGAAGGGAGATGGAAAAATAATTTGTGGAGGCAGTGCTCTGCACCCCCCACTCCCGGCACATCACCTGACACCCACTTTTTTAACTCAATGATAAATTGCATTCTAGTACTTTAATTCAATTAAAGCCATTGCCTCGGTTAGCCATCTTTCCAGCAACACAGGCTTTGTATCATAATGTTTATATGGTACTTCATCATTGATCTCATTCCCTGCTACTCAGTCCCCAACTCTCCCATGGCTGCTGCTATCTCTATTGCTTCATTGTTCCCAGGCTGAAAGGCAGCAGAGGTTGAAGAAAACATGGTGAGAGAAGAAATGGTAGAGACAGAGAAAGCCACGGCACCCAGTCCGACCACGAGCTGAATGAAGCTCAGCAGCAGAAAGTCAACTGGATCCCTGGCTGTCCGCTCAGTCTCTCTGAGCCCCTGTGAGACCAGGTTATTTGATTCTGTGAGTTTACTTTGGATGTTCTTAACCCCTCTGGCTCCGACAGTCTTTCCTCCCCACTTCTTCAGGATTTCTCTGGACTCCGCCTGATGTTTGGCTGTGGGTCTGCATCTGTTTCCTTCAGTTGCTGGATGAAGCCTCTCTGATGACAACTGGGCGAGGCACTAATCTGGTCACAGGAGATGGCCAGCTCAGGCTATGTATCCACTATTGCTAGGCATCTTAGCTGGCATCCTTGCAGATTTCTGGAAAGTTCCCTTGTGCTAGGTTTTACCTGACCTCAAAATGCACTACTTTTCCACTAGTGCCCTCCCTTCTGTGCCCCCCTTAACAATACACCTGTGTCAAGTCTTTTAAAGCAAGCCGTGGAGATCTCAATTAGTGTGCCAACAAAGAGAACTGTATGTCAAATTCCAGGAAGGTAGATGTCCAAAATGGCTGGAAAATATGGTTGTATGACTTATCCACAAGGAAACCGTTCAGCCCAGTTACACCTTCCCTGCAAAAACCAAGGAGGGTGGTTTTGCTTGAGTAGTTTAAAAAGGCAATAGGAGGAAGGGGGTCAGTCTGAAAAAGCCTACTCATGCCTCAGGGTGCCAGGCTTCAGTTCTAAAATGATTGTCTAAAATAAACAAATTAGGGTTTCCATTGTTGTGAAGAGACACCATGACCCCAACAACTCTTATAAAGAAAGCATTTAATGGGGCTGGTTTATAGTTTCAGAGATTTAGTCCATTATCCTCATGGCACGACAAGACTAAATGTATGCAGACATGGTGTGGGAGAAAGAACTGAGAGTTCTACATCTTGATCTGCAGGCAGCAGAAGCAACCACGTCCCACATGGGACACACCTTGAGCATATAAGACCTGAAAGCCCACCTCCACAGTAACACACTTCCTATAGCTGGCCACATCCCCTAACAGTGCCACTCCCTTCAGGAATCAAATACATAGGTTTATGTGAGTCATACCTATTCATAGCCCAGCATTCCACTCCCTGGCCTCTATAGATTTGTAGTCATAACATAATTCAAAATGCATTTAGTCCAATTTCAAAAGTCTCTACAGTCTACCAAAGTCTCAGCAGTGTTTAAAAGTTCACAGTTCAAAGTCTCTTCTGAAATTAATGCAATCTCTTAATTATAATCCCCTGGAAAATAAAAATAAAAAAATAGATTTCCTATTACCAACATAGTATGCATTCTTGCTATATATTACCATTCCCGAATGGAGGAAAGGGGAGCATAGTGAGAAAATTCTGCATACCGAAAATCAGCTAGACAAACTCTAAATTCTGTGTGTCTGATGGCAAAGTGCTCTTCAGATCTCCAGCTTTGTTGACTGCAACACATTTCTTTCTCTTTGGCTGGTTTCATTCCCTGTAATCAACCCTCCTGAGCAGGTATTCCATGACTCTGGCATCTCCACCATCCTGGGGTCCCCAAAGCAACCCAGGATTCAACTTCACAGATTTCCACAATGGCCTCTCTAGGCCTTCATTCAGCGACACCCCTGATACATACCTGGTCTTAATAGTTTTCCTCAGTCGTGGAGGAAGATTCCATCACCCCGTTCTTCTATCTTTGACTCTAAAGCCAGAACCATGTGACTGAAGCTGCCAAATTCTGCTGTTTACTGGGGGTGGAAGATGACTCCTTTGTTCAGTTACATCATCACCAGCTTTCTATTTCCATGGTTTCCTTCCCTGCCTAACCTTGGCTGTACTGCGACTGGAACTGTAGATCAAGCTGGCCTCAAACTCAGAGATCTACCAGCTCTGCCTCTTGAGTGCTGGGATTAAAGGGTCATACATCACCACACTTGGCTCTAAGTTTTCTTTAATTCCTTTTCAGAAACTGGAAATTTAGCTGGGTGAGATCTTGCCCTGAGGTCACCACTCCCTTTATTCCATTTCTGAATCTGTTTATCTCCTTGAACACAGAATTCTGCTCCATTCTACCTACTGGCACCCCTTTTCCTCTCAGTCTGTACATTTTGTATTTTCCACTTGCTTAGCTTATTCCTTTTCATTATAAATCTTCATTAGAGTTAGCACTAGGAACCAAATGACAGAGTCTATACTATGCTGTTTTGAGATTTCCTCTGCCAGAGGAATTAATCCAAAACTCCCACTTTAGCTGCAGGCAGATTTTTCAGACAAGGGCAAAAAGCAGCCACATTCTTTACCAAATTATCACAAGACCAGTCTCTAGGCTGCATGCTAACATTCTTCTCCTCTGACACCTCTTGATCCAAGCACCCATAGTTCATATCACACTCAGCACTTCCATGTTCCTACTAGGGTGGCCCATTGAGCACCACTTAAACATTCAAATTTTTTTTTTAATTCATAGTCCTAAAGTTCATTTTCCTCCAAACAAATATGATGTTCAGGCCTACCACCAGTCCCTGGCACCAACTTTTGTCTTAGATACAGTTTCTGTTTCTGTGAAGAGACACTATGACCACGGCAACTCTTATAAAAGAAAAACATTCAAATGGGGCTGGCTGGCTTACAGTTTCAGAAGTTTGGTCCGTTATTGTCCTAGTCAGAAGGAAGGCAGGACGCAGGCAGACATGGTGTTGAAGAGGTAGCTGAGAGTTCTACATCCTGATCAGCAGGTAACAGAAAGTAAACTGTCCTACACTGGTCACAGCTTGAGCTTACAGAAAACCTCAAAGCCCACCCCCACAGTGACACACTTCCTCTAACAAGGCCACACCTACTCAGCAAGGCCACACCTCCTAGTAGTGCCACTCCCTGTGGACATTCAAACACATGAGTCTATGGGAACCATACCTATTCAGACAACGATAATGGTGACCAGAGAAGACTGATAGAAAGGTGACATTCGAGTCCACGGAAACAAAGGGAGTCATGCTTGGTTGTCTAGTAGAATGGCCCTCAAAAGAAGCAACATCCGACAGCCTCTCCCAAAGAGGCCTTTTCTCTTTTCCTGCCATTTTTTCCCCTAGCAGTTGACATCATCCAATATATTCTATATTTCACTGTATTTGGTTTGCGTCTTCTCATCAGAAAGTATGGTTATCGGGGGAGGAGGGGGTTTGTATCTGTTTTGTTCATGGTTCTATCCTTAGCACTGGAATGTAGGGCACAGGAAACAAATTATTGAGTAAATGCCATATTCATTTTCTTGTATGACACTGTAAGGCTACAGGAAGTTCCCAGCTGTCCCTTTCTTACAAAGTAGAGCTGTAGGCCTGCATGTGACATGTGTGTAATAGAGATTCAGAGTCTGATTCAAACACTATGAACTGAACATGAGGGTGGGGGCAGCTTATCAGGTTATGTGGAATGGAAACTCAATGTTGCCGCATGCAGCTTGTCTGGACTGAGAGACACCCATGCAGCCCAGACATGCACGTGCGTGTGATTTTACAATGTTGTGGTTTAATGACAGCTTGCCTCCTTCGTTTGAATTAACCTCTCACATTCTCTTGAATCTTACAAGTCAATTTTACGAACTCACATACTTCAACTGACTCTCTTCCAGGGAGGTGTTCTCCCACAGAGACCACCCTGCTTAGCCCCAGCAGAAAGAGAAAGGCAAAACCTTCCCTAGACTCTTTCATTCTTTCAGTGGATTTTCCAGTTGGCAAACATGTGGCAGCCTTGTTACCAGTGTGTAGTCTGAGGTCATGGTTTGTTACAGGCATGAAACCTGCAAAGCAGCTTGGACTCTCAGTTCCAGCACAATGCAGAAGTCCAGAGGGAAGCTTGAAGGGTGGAGCTCAGCTAGGAAAAACTGATCTCTTACCTGCTCCAAGAAACCATTCTCTGTGGTGTGGCTGGACACTGCCTGTAGCCATGGGCTCCTTCCAGCCTAGAACAGTGTACTGGAGATCCTGTAGTTCCCTCTGGTCCTTTGACTTCCCAGAGAAGCAGGCAGAGGCTCTGTGTCCTCGGCATCCAATGCTTACTGCTTGGCTCCGTTCTTTCCCAGAGCACAAAATGAGAGCCAGCAAGTTGCAGTAGGAATCAGAAAGCTATTTCTACCAGCCTGATTTTTTCACACGTAGTGTTTGCAGCACTTTCCAAAAGATGCCTTCCTGTGCGAGGCCGAGTGAGAACAATGTGTAAATGAAGTGACTGGGAGGAGAGGCTCAGAGTGGCTGCGCCACCAGCAGACTGCACAGGATGCTGACTAATTAGACGCGGGACATTTTGACTCTTGTCTTCTGGTTACACACACACACTCCAGGCCACTGAGGACTCCATTCCTGGTACCAGATAGAAATAGAAAATAGGAAAGAGAGGTATCTCTATGGCCATCTAGATGTCTCCTGTATACCAGATCCAGTCTGGTATACAGTCTGGTATACAAGCAAACAATTGGAAAAAGGGTGAGCACAAATAAGTAATCAATGAACCCCTAAATAAATGATATGATCATTTGTACGCATTTTGACATTACCCTCTTTTCTTTCTAATGGAGTCCCTGATAAAGGAGGGACTCGCTTGTGCACATGCTAATGCCTGCTTCCACACAGTAGGTGTACACACTGCAGTGTTGAGCACAGAGAGCAGGTGTCACTGCCTGGCCCTCTCACATTACAGGTATCACTTATCCAGAAGAAAAGGGACAGTCATGTAGGCACACACCGTCATAGTTCCCTTGGCAGCACAGGGGCAGGATGTGTGGGTACCGATTCTGGCTCTTGAGACGTGTGTTGTTGGAGACGTCAAAACCTCTTTCCCATGCAGCAGGAGGCATGGTGTTGATAAGAAAGTAGAACACTTCAAAAGCATCATCTTGGGCTAATTAAGATGAAATGAACTACTTGCATGGCTTTTATTACTGGATAAGTGGTTCTTTTTTTCTAAGATGAGTCTGTCTGACACTTACTTAGAGCATATGGGGCCTATCAAAGTCACTGAGGAGTGAGCCCATGATTTGGGTAGCTAAGTAAGTAAACATCCGGAGAAAATGAAAGCTTACTACTCTATCTTCTGGAGGGTGAGGAAGCCACCATGCTGATGGAGTGAACTGATGTTTGTTAATAGTGCCTGGGTTTTCCTTTTATTTTCTCATTGATTATTCTCATTGTTTTCTTCTTTAAACACATGCATTATGAAGAAAAAAGCAACAAAGCTATAATTTGGGAGGAGAGGGTATTGTCCCAAAGAATGTACTCTTTTCCTATTGTAGTTCATCTCCTTTTCTTCATTGCTGTAACCTTGATGTTTATAATGTACTGAATTGAAGGCTCATTTCTTAATTACATCCAAGTGTCTGCATAATGCTTAGAGCAGAGTCATTTAACTAGAAATGATTGTCTACCATCAAATCAGAAAATGCCTAGTGAGTACCTGCTTTGTATTAGATAGTAGGGCACACCCTGTAATTTGAAAGCTATTCTACATGGACATCCACATCTCTTTCTTCGGTTCATGTTTAGTTTAATTTTGTTTTTTCAGACAGGATCTTGCCACTTAGTCCAGACTGACCTCAAACACACTGTGATAGTCCAGGCTAGCCTCAGATATGTGGTTCTCCTGTGTTTTAGTTACTTTTGTAACACAGAGCTGAAAATTTCTGACAGTGGGCAGGAGCAGTACAGTTCATGACAGCAAAGCTTGCACAAGCACTTTGTCCACAAAGTAACCGAGAAAAAACAGAGAAAACATGGCAAGACATGAGGTAAAGCCTGCAAGTTCCCATCCCCAGTGACAACCAACCAGCCAGACTCCCCTAAAGGATCTGCAGTCTTCAAGACAGTATCCAAGTTGGGCCTGAGCATTTAAAAACATCACACACACACACACACACACACACACACACACACAGAGAGAGAGAGAGAGACATACACATAGTAGGGGTGGAGAGAGAGAGAGAGAGAGAGAGAGAGAGAGAGAGAGAGAGAATGTTTATGGTAATACCCATGAACAGTAAAGTGCAAACAGAATGGATGCAGAGAGAGCCTCAGGCTTCAGTGTAGGGCTGACCCAGAACCAAGAAAGCATGAAAAGAGGACTGGGTAGAAAGATTCGTACTCTGGAGTGATGCCCTAAGCATCTCTTCAGCACAAAGGGTACTGAGAAAACAGCCTGAAGCTGAGCAGCGCAGGCAGGAACTACACTGGTGATTCTGTACGCCCGGCTATTGTAGAGAGGCAGTCTGAGAGCTATGCCGCCTCATTGCCAAGGCCGTGGCAGATCCCAGAGGCACTGCAGGTGGAAGTTGTCAGGTGACTGCACTTGTCATAGCTAAATGGAATGTTCTTTTCTGGAAGGGACACATGCTGCACAAATGTGGATATCACAGTTATGTCATTCCTCAGATAAAGATGCAACCCTAACATCAATGACTTTGCCTTCCCAAGCGAGAGGAACATTATTACTATAAGCAGCCATGCTAAACTAAGATTAGAAATTAATACTGTGTTGATATTAAAGTTTATTAGAAATAAACAGTTATAAAATTTTGTATTGCATAAGCCACATTGGTAGAGGAATAGGCAATACGAGCAACAAATTATTCAAAATACGGTCCTGCCTCCGCTCCCTAGGTTAACCCATATATCTACTCATGACTCAGTAACTTTAAAATTAATGCTTAATTGTGTACCATCAGAATAAACTTTAAGGTGAAATGCGCTTCTGGGTGGCGGAAATAACTTGATAAAACCTACAGAGGAGGGTTATGTGGATAACTATGGGGCTATGAGCCTGGTTCAGTGGGAAGGTTTGCAGGGTATGAGTAAGGATCAAAGAGGAAGATGCAAAAATGAAGTTCTTTAACAGTATCCTAAATGTCCATCGAGCAGCTAGGCTTATTTACTGATTCAGTGCTATGGGAGTCAATGAGACTTTTAAGATGAAGGCTTTCATGGAAGAAAGTCTGGTTATGGTGAATGTAGGACTGAAAGGAACATTGGGACCCAAAGACTTCTGTTTTTGTCTGCCAGATGCCAGTGGCAAGAGGGTTCCTCTGTCACATTCTCTCTTACATGGACTCTTGGGACCATGTGCCTCTGTTCTCCCTTTCTGTATCCTAGATGCATTCACTCAGGTGGTGTTTTTTCCCCAGTACACTGTCACTGTCATGCACTGGCTTGTGGCAGGCCTGAAAGCAACCGGGCTGACTGACTCTGAAAATCCCTGAAACTGTGAGAAATAAATCAATGTGCCAATCAATAAATTCACAAATACCACAAACCCTTCTTCTTTTAATCTGATTTTGGCAGGAGGCTACCCAGCCAGCTTAGTCCCAAAATAATTACACAGAAACTGTATTCATTAAAACACTGCTTGACCCATTAGCTCTAACTTCTTATTGGCTAACTCTTCCATCTTAATTTAACCCATTTCTATTAATCTGCGTATCGCCATGTGGCAATGGCTTACCGGCAAAATTTCAGCATGTCTGACTCTGATGGCAGCTCTGTTGCTTCTCTCTCTCCACCTTCCTTCTCCCAACATGCCATTTAGTTTTTCCCACCTACCTAAGTTCTTCCCTATCAACAGGCCAAGGCAGTTTCTTTATTCATTAATGGTAATCACAGCACACAGAGAGAAGGGAGACAGAATGGAAGGCCACACCATCTGATTATCTCAGATGTTTTGTTATGTGCTAACAGAAAGCTTGCTGGCACAGAAACAAGCACCAAGAAACTGGGT